GTATATATTGACATGTAGTAATTAATTTCTCTCGTATTTCGCAGGTCGAATGAGAAGCTCACTGACCAATCGGGACCTAAGGAGGAGTTTATGTCCAGAGTGCGGACATATACTGTATCCTTGCATGCACTTCAGCAGGCAATCGCCTTTCTAAAGTATACATTTATCTCTAGACAAGTGTTCGAAACTAACGTCGCCCTGTCGGTCCTGGGCCGATAAATAATTCATCGGACCAGTAACTTGTAAAAGTTGAAGGTCCGGTGGTCCTACAAGTATTTAGGGAGAGAAATCACGTACAAGCCCTAACCCTAACCCTCCCACTAACTCTAAACCGACTCGGCTATGTTATATACGCGTGTACCCAATTAATCTATGGTGTATAACCTTTTGCTTTGAATATTTGGCCATCTGAACTGACAAATCAATCCCAACCAGGACCTGGCAGGCAATAATGTTTCATTTTCGATACTTGCAAAGTCCGAGTGTTTCTAGCTGCATCAGAAATCGTTAATCGTGAATTAAATCGTGGATTAATTTCCAAACGGCATTATTACGGGGCAGGTAACCCAGTCTAACACGAGGTAGAGTAGACTGGTACACTTACCAACCACTCCTGCCATTGTATTTTTTTTACATAACACTAGGGTTAGAGCCCACAATAACAAAATACGAACAGTGGACATAGCCAACTCTAGGCAAATGGTAAGTCAGATCCAGAACAGTATTGTAAAGCTGTCGATAGTAAAACTACATAATACAAATGAGTATGATGATATAAGAAGATTTACAGTACCAGTATAGTTATTATGTATATGCAGTGTTGGAAATAAGACAAAAATTCCATCCGGTCCTGATTAAAAAAAATTCGAAATCTGCAATATAAGCTACAGTAATTTTCTTGAAAATTAGCCAGTCCTGCTCCAAAAGTAGCCACCCCTGCTGAAAAGTTACCAGTCAGGGACTATGGGACCAGCTGCTATTTCCAACACTGGTATATGTCTGCTTTTCTGATTTATGAGAGCTGAACTCGATTTGGAACCAGCAAACCAGCAAGTTAACTCCTACATTTTGGTATTTTTATTCCATTATTATTTTAAATTTTCCGATGGCTTTGCCCATGCAAAACAAACATTTTCCACACAGAATGTCCCAGATTGCATCTCAGAGCTTCTACAATTCAAAAATTTTCCGGGGGGGGGCATTCCCCGGACCCCCCTAGCACTGAGCAGCACCCCCATGCTATAATGAACCCTGGGGATTATGATTATGGACATTGATAATGACTAATAAACACAAGGAAGAACATGATATGCTGTTTTATTACTGTAATTTGCTCCAAAATTGGCGGGCCTACAGCTTTGCTGGCGGGCCTGCAGCTTTTAGGAGCTATAGGCCCTGCAGGCCTACAGCCTTTTCTGCTCAGTGGAAAACACTGCTCTAGACCACGTGAAATATATCATGGCAAATATATATATACATGTTTTAAATCATGGGCACAACTTAAAATGTTTAAATTGACTACGTCACGAATTTTCTATGGTAAAATTTGTAAAATTTTTGTTGCGATTTTTTTACATTAAAAGTAAGAACTAATGGGACTAAACGTATCGTCAAATTCTTACCTGATAAAATTGTTTCTCAACTAGTTAAAAATCCAAAAAACTTGGTCGATTTGATATTGTGTTCCTGACATTAATTGCTTGCTATGGGCTATGTATGAGTCACGAGTGTATGTTCACATCGAACAATATAGTAAAACAGGAAGTATAATGCAGCAATTTAACCATAAAAAGTGAACAGAATTGCTTGTATTTTGTGAAAAAGTGGGGGTATTTTTTTTTTTTTTAGCTCATCTGACATAGTCAGATGCAGCTTGTAGAATCGCATGATCGTCCGTGCGTCCGTCCGTCCGTCCGTCCGAGCGTCCGTCCGTGCGTCAACAGTTGGGCACAAATCTTAACCGCTCGACGTACGGTCACGATATTCGGCACATCGGGGGAGTCGTCAAAACGAGTGTGGGATGTCTAACTGGGTCAAAGTCAAAGTCAAGAAGTGTAAAAGAAGCGAACATTCACCCTAACTAAGCGTTAGGGAGAAATTGCAGAAATTGCCGCCACAAAGCTAAAGCCGACCTAGGCTCGTGATACGGTGTTATACTCATCTAGAAAAGCCATCACTGCGCTAAATGGAGTCACAGGTAAACAAAGTCAGTGGCACAGGCAATATTTAGACATTTCTGAGACATGCGATCGGAGCATGAAAAACTTTTTGCTTCACGGTGACCAGCATTTTTATGCGCTTTATTGAAAAAGCGACCATGAAAGTCCTCTGCAGACATGCGCAAGAGTAAGTGTCGGCATAACCTTTTGACCCTCAAAGAGGAAGGTAACATGGTTGTCACTGTCAACAAAGGACTGACTGCTTTTGCTATAAGCATCCCCTCCCCCACCCTCCCCTCCCCCTCCCCCACCCCCCCCCCCCCACCCCTCCCCCCTACCCTCATCTGCAGTGGGCGTGTCCTAACCATGATGGCTACGCCAACTGCGTGCGCAATCTGCGTCCTAACAAAGGTTGGTACTACGCACCGGACTAAATTTTACGTTTATAATCGTAGCCAACAGACCTCAATGAGCCCAGACCTTCTCGCGGCTCTTGTTATTATTACAGGAACTGACATAATCACTTTAACACATTATAATAATAGATTCTATTATCTAATCTATTAATTTCAGTCAGGCTATTCTCTTATTTAAGTCTGCCATCTCGCTGACAATTATTAATAATTTAACATCTAACACGTATTGCAAATCGCATATTAAACAACAAATTTCTAGTTCGACTTGACATTGTCATCCTCAGCGGCAATGTTGGCAAGCGCCAAATTGTCGCGATGCAGGCGCGCGCGGCTGACGTGATCGAAAGCAACCTGCTACAGTCGCCCACTTCAACGAACTCCTCAGCGGCCGACGCCCACGCAGTACACTCATAAGATGTCGCCGTGTTGTGCCGGCGTCGTGCGTCTCTCCTCTCCTTCTCTCTCGTCTTCCTCTCTCCCTCTCTCTTC